TTATCGTCCGATTTATTTCATCTTCCAATCAGTTTAATTACTCGCACATTGATTACATGAACCTTTTGATAGTTGAAAAAACGCCTGTATCACACATTCAATTGTGTTTCAATTTCGTGATCATTTTGCTCTTGATTAAATCTTGCACCTTGTGTTTCCACGTCAGACTGCCGGCATCTGGCTCGACGATTTTTGTTCGACTTAATTGCAGTTCGTGCAGCAAAATTTGCGTAACCCTGAGACTTGGCTTTTCTCGCTCGATAGTTCTTTTCTCAGTGTATATATATATATATATATATATATATATATATATATATATATATATATATATATATATATATATATATATATATATATACACTGAGAAAAGAACTATCGAGCGAGAAAAGCCAAGTCTCAGGGTTACGCAAATTTTGCTGCACGAACTGCAATTAAGTCGAACAAAAATCGTCGAGCCAGATGCCGGCAGTCTGACGTGGAAACACAAGGTGCAAGATTTAATCAAGAGCAAAATGATCACGAAATTGAAACACAATTGAATGTGTGATACAGGCGTTTTTTCAACTATCAAAAGGTTCATGTAATCAATGTGCGAGTAATTAAACTGATTGGAAGATGAAATAAATCGGACGATAAACACGTCCAACACTGCGTTGTCTCAGCTTTATGATCGTCTCGTTTAACTAAATATCCAGCTTATTTTCTAAACGAATGTTTGAAAGAACATCAGAATTTTGCTACAAGAATCAAAACAGTTAGTTCGCCACATGCAACCCTGAAATTCGTTTAAAGGAACCTTTTGCTCCAGAAAAGCTTTTCTATTGAAACATGTATTGAGATTTTAAACAAAAGTTATAGAAGATAGAACTTTGAAACTTTCCGCAAATACTGATGCAACTTTTAGTGTATATACTGAATTTTTAATAAAATTTTTAATAAGTTTTTATAAATAAAGTACTACATTTTTTCATGACTAAAACAAAAGATTTCAATATACCACAAGAAATCTGACCATATTTTATTGATAAAAAATACAGTTCTGCATATATCACATTGGTTGTAGTTCATGTTATAGTTACAAATATACTATAGAGATTCATAATTTGTTTGTTTTAGTTTATTAGAGAGTGAAAATTCAAGAACACGTTTTTTTATCACATTTAATTTTCTAACTTCAACAAACGTATAAATTTTCTCATGAAAAAATTCAGCTCATCAAAAGTTGCATCAAAATTTGTGGAAAGTTTTGAAGATCTATCTCCTACAACTTTAAAAAGAAACTCAAGAAAAAAAATACATTTCTCAATACACTAGACCGGGGAAAGTCCCCTTAACTCGATTCCAATTATTTCGACTGTATCTTTTTCTTACAGTGCGTACAGTTTCTCTCAGCGGACTATTTAATTCTCCCTTTACATGCTAACCCCTCGATCATACAGATATTCTTATTCATCTTGCGCGCACGTGCGATCATCTGCTTTTACCGTATTTCAGATATCCCGCAAGCACGGTCGACGGACAACACAAAGCGGGGCTATGTAGCGACGCAGGATAGAAACGTGGCGATAACTCCTCCGACACAGTGTTTCTTTCGAGAGCAATGACGTCATCACTCGTCCCATCTCATTCCTCGTATCTCTCCCTCTTGAACTTGAGGCACGAGAGGAGTCAATTGCCACTCTTGCCCTTCCTCGAAGACCCTTTCGTTTAGTCGGCCCGTTTTCTATGGGCGTTACAACACAGGCGGGGGCGGGGTACGCGGTCGTTTAATCGCGCACAGTGGCTGTTCTGTTGAGAGCTCGTAACATCGTCTACTTCGCGAGACGAAACCACGAGGGCAGTCTTTACACACTCGATATATCATGGACCCGCCACCCGTTCGCTTTTATATTACCAAATTGATCGTAGTATGCAAGAATGACCAAATCCACATGGAGAATACGTTTCGAAAAAAAAAAAATAAAAATTTAAACAGTTCGCGATTCAAACAGTTATTTTAGCGATATTTTATTGTCTTTATGCGATATTCTTATCAAGACTCACACAACATGATTATTCCTAATCATGTTAAGTAAAACCGTCACCCACAAAGGGGTGAAAAACTTACGGGTTACCCCGATATCGATAGCGTGACAGTCGACATATTAACACGTCTGCTATCAACGTCATATGTGTGTGTGCGTTGATTTCTCACACACTTCAAGTTTATCTTTACTTAAAATTTTTAATTCTCTACTCAAAATTTCTATTTTCTATCTGACATTCGCTATCAACGTTACACGCACCGAAAGAAAACAAATGGTTGATCTAACTAAAATTATAATCTTTTTTCGTCCAATTATATTTTTGGTTGTTTCAACAGAAAATAGTAGTAGCAACATGCATATAAGATTGTCATCAGTGACATCATAGTAAAAATTTAATAAGTGGTTTCCTTGACCATGATTTATAGTAATAAAGTAATTTCCTTGGCCATGATTTATAGTAATTATTTCTCCATGTGGCTACAATTCCAAGTACCAAGCAACTTTTTTCCTCAGTATGTGTATGTGTGTGTGTGTGTGACAGTGATAATTTTTCCTTCTACCCACGCAAAAAACTGCGTCTGAATTACATAAAAACAAGTACAGTGTGATTTGCGAGGAAAGACACGCAAATAGTAGCGTGGCAGCAAACATGTGAAAAGATTCATTTCCACCGAGTATACCCTCGTCGAAAAGGACTCGGGTTGAACTCTCAGACGAGCAAGCCAAGTTCACGTATCCTCTTTCGGCTTCCACGACGTCGACGTAGAGGCGGCGGACGCGCCGACGCGCGTCGCGCCGCCCATTGACTTTTGATTCACTGGGTATGTGGGTCGGCCGAGTGCCGCTCTCGTTGGCAGAGTGGGTCGTCGCTAGTGATGGGCCTGAGTCCCACGCGTACCGACGCCGATGCCTTACGTAAGGCTGCATAAAAAGCGGTCTTTTTGCAAGTAACCGAGCGAAGAACGCGCCTCGGTCGCGCGATCGGTGCGGCTTCGACAGAGCGCGCGCGGTACATCGGAAGGTATTTTATTTCAGCACGGCGCTGAATCAAACTGGTTCCAACCGAGGAGGCGGTTTGGTGGAGCGGCGCGCCACCATAAGGCGGCAATTCGCTCGCTTTATCGCGGCCTGCGCGCGATATTTCGAAAGATCCGCGAAATCCAGCCGCGGCGCAGAAACGGGAAATGAGAGAAAGTGAGCGCGCGACTCGCGCTCCGGCTGCGGGAACGCGCCGTGCGTGTTCCCAGCTGAGAAAATCTCGATATCTGTGTGTATTGGAATGTTGAGCAGTTCCTGAAATGAACTTCGACTCGACCGTGACGTGGTTCTCGCGGACTTTCGCAAACCGCTAATGAAAGAGCTAGACTGCTCGGGTAACGGTGACTGACCCGCGAAAGATTTTATTTCCGGCATGAGATCGATCTGTCGAAAATAACACGCTATAATTGAGTGGCCAATTCATGTCGATTCGCGACTGCACGACTGCGGCTGTTCTCTCTCTCTCTCTCTCTCTCTCTCTCTCTCTCTCTCGCGCGCGCGCGCGCGCGCATTCTCAAGCGCCTTCATAATCGATACGTGGAAAGATCGAACGCGTCGGCACCGCAGTAAAGACAACTCGCGTTACACACGGGAAGTCCCCAATTAGCCGTTAAAAGTGCTCGGTTTATAAGAATCGACAGACATCGGGAAATCATTGATATCGCAACGGATACACGTGTACTATCGCGGACAGAAAGGTTATCACCCTTCTTCTCGTGAGTTTAGAAACGTATCTTTTTGGTCTAATGGGAGGATTTGTTTCCCATTGGGAGAACTCTCCCATTGGACAAGATGGATGCGTTCCTGAACTCAGAAAAAGTGTGAGAACCTTTCTGTCCGTGATCTTACATATCTATCAAGTCGACGGCAGAACGACCATAATGAAAACTGCACGGGACACTATTGGCGGATGTTAACGTTCGATATCGCCAGGAAATTCGACAAACAGAAAACAAAACTTGACAAAATAACATTCAAATAGAAATTATTTTGAATAGAAAAATCACGCGAAGCAAAATAGAATATTTTAAATGGAGAAATTATTCTAAATCGAAATGTGAAATTGAATGTTTCTAAGTTGAAAAAAATAGAATAAAATTATAGAGCAAAAATAGAGTGAAATTAGAATGCTAAAACAGAAAACAGCGACTGACAATCGCAATGGAGCATCAAGCGCACGATTCGCGAGAATATTTCAAATACAAACTTTTACAAAATGTCTTAAGAGATTTATTCAGCAGATATGCATTTTCAGGACGCGCAACGAGCACATCAAGGGAGCTCTCATAAATTCACTATTTATCGAACAAAAATTAAAATGTCCACACTGTTATAATGGCATTCCCGTTACGCCTCTAAATATATAAGTAATATATAAGTTTGCATTAGATAGTACAAAGTATCATATATTGTCGCGCAATATATGCATAACATATTTAACTGCAGTGACGAGTAATTTAGAATTGTAGATGCAATCTTCCAAGTTCTAACTGCGTATGGCACTGCGATTGAAGAAAAGAAAATCGCAATGTATCGCACGTCCCTACCTGACATCGTCGCGCATCCCGCCGAGACTGTCAAGATCGCGGTCAGACGTTCGGTGACGTTCGCGGTCGATCTCGACGACGTGTCCTCTCGTGATCGGGCGTATATCGATCCGAGAGACAGCCGCAGATATCCTTAATGCTATACGTATAGCGCGTGGCATCGAGAAATCGTGGGGAAAGGAGCAACGGGCCGGGTCGTCGAACCCGTTCGCGCGAACTAGCGACGAACGGGCGCATCTCGCGGCGCCTTTTTCCCCTCTCTCTCTCTCCTCTCTTTCTCTTTTTCTGCCCCCTCCCCCGTTTTATATATCTCTCTCTCCTTTTCTGTCTTTTTTACATGCGGCGGCTCACACGCGAAACTGCAAAAACATGCTCGAAGAACACTCACTTTAGCTGATCCCCCGGCTTCGTCTTGCCGCGGACGTCGGCGCACTCGACTTTTCTGCTCGCCGCTGGTCTCCTCGGGCTGAAGAGTGAAGCGACCGTGTCCCTTTTCCTACTCGGTGCTGGCCTCGTTGATGGGTTCGGCTTCGCCCTGAAATCCGGATTAAAACGGATGAAGTTTCGAGTCGACAGTCGACTGCGTTAATTAAAGGCAGCTTCGACCGCGACGCGGATAATTGGCGGGATCGCGGCGCGCTCTCGCTTCGCTGATCTTTCTGCGGACGAAACGAACGGTAGCCGTCGTGCAGGAAAGGCGGAGGCCACTATCGAGGCGACTATCGCCGGGTCGCGACTCGTATTGACTCGTCGGGGACCAGACCCAAAATAAACTAAGGGCCGATTGTTCCAATCTCTTCGGTCAGCTACTTGACAGTTCAATCATATATCTGTCTTTTTTTCAAATTGGACAAAGACAGCCACATGATTTAACTGTCAGGTAGCTTATCAAAAAGTTGGAACAACCAGCCCTAATATATGTAAACCGCAACTTCAAATATATTAAATTACGAAATGATCAGCAATGTCGAATTTTTAATTGATCAGATTACACTCATTTTTATCATACAGAATGTCGAAATGCAAATACGAAAGAAATACGAAAAAATTCTCAAAATTTGTCCCAAACAATGTGTTATATTAAGTGTAACATGAAAGTCTGAGTGTGATCTTTCAGTAAATGTGTTACTGCATTAATACAACAAAAAATGTACATTACTGTATGATGTCAATTTAACAATTAATTCAATAAACACACAATATATTTGCTTCATCAGTGCAATTAAAAGAATATAAGGTTTCCATCATCAATTGTGTCTCACGTAGTGATAATCATGAAAGTCTATCTGGGAAGAGTAGACGTTCGCGTATGATTGGTATTAGTGCGAGTATTTCTTTAACTGGTAAAAAAAAAATGATAAGAAATGATAATAAGGGTGAATAATTGAAGATTATTTCTTGAAGTGTGAAGAATCCCTCTCGCGTCGTTTCGCGAGCATACGTCCACCTTTGTGCGACGCGGGTGCGAAAAGGGCACACGCGACACACAAACAACGTCGCGTGGTAAAAGGCCGCGCATTCGTTGCGCAATAAAAAATCGGAGGCGATGGATGTATCCGCCCGCGCGCGACAACGATCGTTCCTTACCGCGAATGCGAGAAAGCCGTTGAATCTCTCGTTGCGCAAGGAATCGATAGAAAGTTATGTAACACCTCGTGCGTATATGTGCGTGCGCGCATAACGCGATGCAATTATCGAGGTGCGTGTACACTCGCTTGCTAAACGGTGGCCACACATTTGGTGCTTTAGGCTCTCGCTGCATTGTCCAATACTCTGCTTGTTTTCCGGGTTTGGATCGCGTCTTCCTTGTGTTTGGTTCCGACCTTTCAGTTTCTTTCAGTTCACTTTTTCAGGGAGCAGTTTCGGGTCGCCCCTGCGAAATGAACTGAAATGTTCACGAAACTTTGAAGCCAAACACAAGGAAGACGCGATTCAAGTCTGAAAAACAAGCAAAGTGATAGCCACACAATTTTGCGAATGAAGTCGCAGCGCTACTGGTTGTCACGATTGAGAGGCACTGCTGACGCGTTCGCGCTGTAATCAGTTAATAAAGGGGTGTATCTAAACTTTCAGAGTCCATAAGTTCGTAATTTGAACAAGAATAACAATATTTGAATGTTATACTAACCAAATAAATTTTTGCATCCTATACTGTCACTTGAACTCCTGTCATAACTGATTACAGCGCGAACGCGTCAGCAGTGTCTCCTAATTTGTGGCAACTTGGAGCGCTGCAACTTCACTCGGAAAAATGTGTGACTACCGTTTGGTAATCGCGTGTACCTGCAGCTGCTGACTGACTAACGGAAAGGATTGCGTAACGCGTGCGTGTGTGCGTGCGCGCCATTTACACACGCTCCCCCGGGAACGACAGGCGAGGACGGTGGCGATTTCCACGACCCGACGCTAATTTCGTTATCGTGAAGCTAACCGTCGTCGCGCGCGAGAAAGTCAGCCTCTCTCATCTGCGCTGCGAAGCTCGCCCCGGCGACGACTCGATGAAGAATGCGCGCTTCGCGCCAGCAAGACGCGTAATATCTCAGCGATTTTTCACGATTCCGGAGTGACGAGAGGAATCTATAATTCTCTTACATGAGTAAACAATTAGCAACAAAGATTGCGAGCCGTATTAAGTGGCACCCGGAGCAAGAAATGAGTCGGTTCAAAGGGATGAGGGGAGGTAAAGGATAGGCTGGAGGCGCGTAGAACTCGATTCGATGAGTTTAGCGTATCGACGGTTCCAGTGTGTATCGGCCAGGCGAGTTGATGAGGTCAGTACGATCGCTGACCGCTGGTGGTCAATGCCCCCATCGGATACGTCTGTTGCGAGAACGGACGAACGAGCGAGTGAACGAACGAATCGGACGAACGATCGGATCGATCGATCGATCGACCGGCGGCCCGGCAAAACGAATCGTTTCGAACTGGCGTTCGTCGCCCGCGTCTGGTTAACGACATTCACACGGCATTACGTCAATTATGCGTGATCTCCCCCGTCGCGACGATAGAACGCGCCGTGTGTTGAGTGATATCAACGTGTCTTCTCAACGAGAACGGTCAACGCGGACCAGCGATAATAACGCCGGTCTGCAGCACGTACGCGTGAGTTTTGTCACGAGTATTGAGTTTTAAGTGACAAGCGCAACCGAAACTTGTGAGAACGACTGATAACTCTCGACTTCTGTAGAAGAGACACCGGGAGGGGTACGCGTCTGTCTCGCGCCCACCCCTCAATAGACTGTGATGCGCGTAAACTTTATACACTAACTTTGAGAATATTGAATCACGAAATTCAGCAACGCTGAGTCCCTTATGACTGATCAGATGTATCACGCAGAATAATGAAATAAGGCCTGGTTTTTGTAGCTGCACTGCTGAACTAGTGAAATAAGCTAGAGTGAGAAAACGTATATTTGTTTTACTTCAATATATTGCACCAGTTCAGCAGTGCAGCTACAAAGAACAGACCTATAGAAACACGAAAAAAGAACATGATCTAAATTTGCGCCAGACAATACGGTTATATTAAATGTAATATGAAAACTTGAGTGTAACCTTTAGTAAATTTGTTGCCACATTGATACAAATTTTGTACTATTGCACGATGTGTACTATTGTATGTTGTTTCGCAATTAATTCAATATAGTATATTTACTTCATGTGATTAAATAAACTGTAAAGTTTCCATTATCATTATCTCATATCGTGATGATAATCGTGAAAGTCTATCTGGCCGTAAACACGTTTACTAAAAGAGGGGTGTGACACCTTACGCTCACTTATTATTAATTCAGGAAACTCGCGCACACGATGACATGTTGCACACGAGAGAGCTATATATAATTTTCACAGAAAGACTCGTGTTTATTGTGTACTTGGCACAACATTCCGCGAATGTCGACAATTTCGGTGGCATGTTACGTGAAGTGAAAGTAAAAAAAAAAATATATATATATATAATAAAGTACAAATCTGCAGTAAATATTTCCCTACGTTGCGCGTGATAATTGAATATTTTTTTTATTAGCTACCAGAAGAAATTCTATATCGGTTATCGCTCGATAATATCTCGATATATATACTTTATGCAATAGTAACAATGTTATTGTAACGAGAAAAATAATAACGTAGCTGTAAATGCGGTAAATAAATAAAAGTGATATTTGAAAAAAACTTCTAAGAAAAAAAAAGAAAAAAAAATACAAGGGGACACCCGGGTTTGAACCGGGGACCTCTCGATCTGCAGTCGAATGCTCTACCACTGAGCTATATCCCCACTTGATAACTCCTCTCTCAAGTGGCACTCTTCAGTGTTAACACGCAATAAAATGTCATTCTTAATAAGTATGAAAAGTAAATTTTTCCTGTATCGAGATCGAATTCAATGATAAAAATGGGCATAATATGAAATTCTACGAAGACATTTTTTTAATGGCGTCCATTTAATGGCAACTAAAATTCGAAATTTCATTTGCAACACAGAATTGTGGTTAAAAGTTTTTCGTAAAACAGGACTCTACATAGCCACCTTAGCTAGTGTTTTGGACCCTTTCATCAATTTATAATATAATTTTGGCACGTGATTTTATAGGCACACAATAATTTCTGAACGAACAGTAGAAATTCAAGCGTTAAATAATTTTGCGAATCGCGATAGATTTCTCGCGATAAATAGTAAAAACGAAGCCGTTCGTAGCAGCAGATAAATAACGGAGTTCCCGGGAAAAATAATGCCGGGACCGGTTTTCCGATCCGTGACGGACGGGAAGCCTTTACTGTGCCGCATCCATCGTGATTATTACGGTAACAAGCGGTTATTACCGCATCGCCGCGGCACAATGTTATGCGCCGAGGAAACTGACTGCTGGCGTCCTCTGTGCCGCGTTTCATACGTTACGACGGCCAACGCGACGTCGATAATGCAGGAATCCAGAAGTTAATTCAAATTTTAAAATCGTTCCTTTTGTCACTTCTTTATTACGTTTGCACAAGCGAAGTTAAGGTTTATTCACCGGATATGTGTTTCCAGGAGGGTACTTTCAGTGGTACATTAAAAGTAAGTTGGACTATCAAAAGAGGAAGCTACTTATAAATTTACTATTTATTCAGCAAAATTACGTTTTAATATATTTATTCGATTATGTAAATAATAAATTTTAATTCAAAACTAATTTCATAATACTATCTTGCCAAGTGTCACTCGATATACACGGAAACAATTTCATAGTTAAAATTACTAAAGGATTCTGTAACCGAAGAATATATCGATACTCTGTATTCTAATTCATTATCCTTTCATTTTGCGTATGTGCTTATTATTTTATTTATTATTTTACTTATTATTTTACGAACTCTCCCTATGAAACGCTATTAAAACACTTGCGAAATCTACTATATTCCTTAGCAAGATAGACCTTACTGACGGTTTATTCCTGTGGACTATTAAAAACTTAGTAAAATTGAAAAGATCTTATATGAAACAAGTTATAATGTTTTTTCCGTGTTGCTCAGAACAGTGCTCTACGAATTTCTGGCGGATTATTCGCGGACTCGCCGAGGTCCGGCAATGATTCGTCGCATCCTCGCGAGCTAATTGAAAAGTGTGTACTCACTGATTTCCGCTGGCCTTCTTCGTGAGCGGCAGAGTATTCTGCGTCGTCCGTTTATTAAACGGTGCCCGCCCGCCCGAACCCACGGACATCCCGCTTCGAGTCTGAAAACAAGAACAACGTGTTCAATTCGAAACGAACAAAACGCCTCACCCATGAAAATCACAATGAAAACACAGACAGATGACGATACGTCCAAGTGACGCTAAAGTCTCTCATGGAAATTAAAAGCGACTCGCAACATGAAAGAAAATGAGAGAAAGAAAAAGAGAGGTGGTGAGAGAGAGGAAAGACAAACAGAGAGAAAGAGAGAGAGAGAGAGGGGCCAAAAGAAAAAGAGAAGCTGAGAAATGTGCAGAAAGAGAGAAAGACGGGAGGAGAGAGAGAGAGAGAGAGGGAGAGAGAGAGAAAGAGAGAGAGAAGAGCCAAAAGAAAAAAAGAGAGAAGCAGAGAAAAGTGCAAAAAAAGAGAAAGAGAAAGACGGAGTGAGAGTGAGAGAGAGAAAGAAGACACGGTAAAGAACAAATACACGTCTTTTTCACGGCTCGTGTCTTCCGGACTGAGCGCGGAAATAAATAAAGAAGAAATGCATTAACGCACCGTTCCACTCTGATTCGCGTGCGTCGCGCGCCACGCTTAAGAGCGGTAATTAAATCCGCGAGGTAGGCCATTACATATATATATATACACACACACACACACACATACACGCACACGCGCGCGCGCACACACATACACATATATACCGTGTACAACGTATGTCGTATCGCGGCGGATTATCGGACACGGATGCGGTTTTTAATAAAAAAGCGGGACGCGACGCTATCGCCAGATCGCTGCGCCACGTCGTCTCCGACTTGCTTTTAATACCGCGATTTCACGTACGCGCTCGCGACGCGCACGCAATTATCCGCGCGACGCACTTAAAAACGAATAATTATCGGACTTTGCGCCATATCTAACGTTCCGGTGCCGCTCTGATTGGGTTGTGATGTGTTGTGGTGCGAAAGGCGTCGAGCAGCGGGCCGTCTCGCATGTAAACACACCCGAGGAGAAATACACGCGTTGGACTGCCGAAAACAGGTGTTATCTTTGTACGTGTTCATCACTCAGCTGATGAAAACAACAACCGCGGTTTTCGAATGGTCTTCTGTGTATTGCTTTAGAGTCACGATTGATTCAAACTCATCAGCTGTTATTGCAGACGATTCGCAAATCCACGTCAAGAGATATTGGAAATTGAGAATTGCGGATTGGAGACTGGAACTTGATTGCGATCAAAATAAAGCGAGACAAGATCGTGATTAGTTAATTCCAATTCTAACTTTTAACATCCGCGTACTTATATCAAGTTACAGAATCTCAAAAACTTCTTTCTCAATTTAAATTCGCCGCACTTATTTGCAAACATTCCGCGCTTTTTGACGAAGGTTCTATCTAAATGCGTCTTGCGACTTATCGGCTAAAACGTTTAATGGACGTGACCATGACTCATTATTATCTGCGTGTTATCTGCGTTATTGCATACTATTTATCGCATTCTAAATAAGTTCGATTTCCGCGTGACGCTCGAAATCGTCACTCCATTCGTGCAAGAGACAATCGAGTAAGGAATCGTCTACAGTATGGTCGCAATTATATTTTAAAGTTTCGGGTGATACATTTTATTTCTCGATGGAATCTTTCCAAATTTGGCACATAAAAATTTTTAGAGTCACTGACTACGAAAAATCTCAATTCAAAGTGGCGGTTCCATTATGGCGGCCTAAAGTTTTTAAAATTAGTGATGCCGCTTTTAATATTATCCAGAAGTAACGAGAAAGAGAGAGTGTGTGTCTATTTCCATGCTCCTTATTCTTATTTAAAAATTTTTTTATTTTTAATATTTTTAAATTTTTATTTCAAAAATTTCTATTTTTTCATTTTTTAAAATTTTCTTCTATCTCTTTATAAATTTTTTATATTTTATATTTTTCCAACATAAAAAGGATAAATTTGCCAAAAAAGTTGAAGTAAAAATAATATTAATACTTCAATAGTTTATTGTAAAAAAATAAGATTTATAGGGAATTATAAAAAGAAATGTGTAAAATAATGTTAAAATTGTATTTAATAAGTTGTTAATATAAAGAATGTATATTAATAATATAATCGATTATATCTATCGATAAATTAGTTGAAATCACGAAGAATGAATAAAAAACAGGCGTCTCTATAGATCGTAGTGATTTCTAAGTCAATCATGCTGTTCCCTTTGCGTAAACTCATGAAAAACGAAAAATCTTCTTGAATTCGTTGATAAAGCTTGTCATTTCTTATGAGTTTATGCGAAGAAAACAGACGCATGATCGATTCACAGATTACGACTTTGAACGTAACCGCGACCGTACTGCTGTAAACGATCCCTAGAGATATTGCTACGTAGCCGCGATAGCGACGAAGGAACACGAGTGTAGGCACTGGGACGCGAAAGACATTCCACGTACGCGCGGCGAAAGCGCGCGTCAAGCATTACCGAATTCCCGCTCAGCGCATCTAGGAACTGCCGGATCATCTTCGCAGCCGCAGACAAAATCCCACATCAAATCACCGTCCCGCACACCACTGCACCACACACACGTGCGTCTCAGGTTACACACAAGGCCAGAGGACGCCGGTCTTCTGCAACGTACTTGTCGTGGGTGCGCGAACGCGCACTTGCGCGCGCGTTTACACACACACACACACACACACACTTCCGCGGAAATCAAACTCCGCGATGCGCACTCTGATACTTCCCGAAGAATCGCCTTCGCGTCAACGGGAACCTCGACGAAGCAAGAGGAAAAGACGAGGAAGAAGAAAAGGAAAATATTGTCGAAAATATTATCTCCGTGCTGTGCGGAACGTTATTGCAATCTTCATGCGACATCTACACGATCCCACACGCGAAAACTCGGCGCAATCTCGAACAGAACGGCCGACACGTATACACGGGGGCGAGCGCGGCCGAAGACTGACGAGGAATTCGAACTGGTGATGATAAGAATTAAGTCGTTCGCGCGATAAGCCAGAAAATGTTTGCCAGGTGAGCACGTACTCACGCTCGTTACGAGCTCACGCGTCTCCAGAGACTAACTGCTCTAGAGACGCGAGACCTGACCTAAACGGCGTACGGTAAACAAAGAGTTTGTTGTTTCGCCGAGGTGCCGTAGAACAACAACATCGTGAGGCGAACGTCGTCGATGCGATCGGCGAACACTTGCGAGAGAAAAACAGGACCAAAAAAAAAAAAGAAATAGAAAAGAAAATGTATGTCCGCGGCGTCGCGATTAGCTGTAACTACACTTGCAAATAAACTCTCGTATCTCGTTTTATCTGCGATAAGCGGCGGAGATTCTCGCTGAGATTCTCCCGATCGTCCCCGATCAGCACGTCGTCGTCGTCGTCCGTGTGCCGCCGAGACTTCCTCGGTGCATGCGACCGGCGTTATCGCGGTCCCGTGAAAACGGCGGCGACGGCGGATCGAGAAGCAGGATTTCGTTCGTACCGTCACGGATACTACACCGGGCGACTTCGATCGGAAGGCTATACGTATCCGTATACGTATCTCCTCGCGAAGGTTCATCGAACCTCGGCGCGCACACACACACACACACACACGTACGGGTTCTCTCGGCCAATAATAAAGATGCACGCCCGGTACGTAACTACGCTCTGTACATACGTACGTAAGTACTACCCTGGTGCTGCACCCGTACCTGCTCTCTCTCTCTCTCTCTCTCTCTCTCTCTCTCTCTCTCTCTCTCT